GGGGCCCAGGTACCATCTTCTGGGTGACGTCTCACTGGGAGCCTTATGGGGCAGGAGCTATGTCGGCTGCTGCTCTGGCACCTCTTCCAACAGGCTCCCGCACTGCAGAGTGACGCACACGGCCACAGAGGCTGCGTGGTGCCCGCTGCCAAGCGTCTAAGTGCTGCTGCTGGGCCTCGCAGAGGCTGCAGCCGGTGCGGCTGCCCCCTTCACCTGCTAATTTCCAGTTTCACCTTGCTGTAGGCAGAAATGACACTTGGAAGGAGCTCCACTTGTCAGGGCTTGCTCTGTGGCCCGATGTGTGACCCATCTTAGAGGTGTGCCTGCCTGGTTGCTTGCTGGAAGGCTCTAGAAGCATGCGCTAGGTCCCTGGGTCGTACAGCTATCAGGTCTGCTGGTCGTGCATTTGTCCATCTGGGTGATCTGTCAGGTTATTTCAGACTTGTCAGTGTTTGATGTATCTAGACGCCTGGACACTGGCACGTTTGTCCTAGCTTCCTGTTGACTTGACCCTTTCATCATTACATGAATACCTTCTTTGTCTCTCATAACAATGTGGGCTTTAGGTCTATTTTTTCTATTTAACTGCTTATTTCTTAAGGCCCATTAATTATGGATTATAATAATAGATTTAAGAAACAGAATCTGTACCCAGAGTTTAAATATCTAATCTGAATGCAGCACTTGACACAAGAAAATGTAATATTAGAAGTATACAACCAAAGACGAAAATTCAAACACATGCACTAAGCCATGTGTCATTAAAAAAACCACTTAAGGGGTGGGGAGATTAGCTCAGCGGTCTAAGCAGCTGCCTGGCAAGCCCAAGGTCCTGAGTTCAGTCCTCAGTATCGCATGCCATGCCAATTCCCAGAACCCTAGGTGCCCCGTGCTGGCCTCGGAATAGGTGTGGTGGCACACGCCTGTTCCCAGCACTGAGGAAGCTGAGACAGGAGGATCACTACGCGTCCAAGCTGCATAGAGAAACTCTATACCAAATAAAGTCATCCACAAAAAACCTGCATTAATTCACTAGACCTTACGTAAGAACTACAAAAGTAAACCGCACCTACCTTGCCCACACACGTATCTACAGGAGCCTAGCACATTTGCTCACACGTTTATCACCTCGTATTGTTACTTATTTATATACTGGTATTCTAGTCCTGAACAAAGCGCCCAAGACAACGTCCGACGCTTACACACTGACCACTACTGTGCCTCATTTACCCACCTCAGTGAGAAGGTGACGGGTCACTACTTCATGTGCAGCCAAGAACTCTGGAATATGCCAAGAGTAAACACTAACACAACTCTCTTCCACAAATAAAGGAGAAAGAGAAAACAGAGAACATCACCGGGAGACCACTCTGAGAGGACCACTGCTTCTGAGGACAGGAGAGCAGGGTCAGGAGAGACTGAGGACACCTCCACTTACAGGGCAGAGCAGGGAGCCAGCCAGCAGTGGGGAAGGGAGGTGACAGGACTCCACACCCTCATTCTGACATGACTGTGGCACCAGAAGGACCCTGGGTGGAGGAGGAGTCCACAGGGACTCATGGTTGGTACCAGGAGCCGGTGGAAGTGGATGTGAGGCTGTCCTGGCAGCCCACCAGGAGCAGCCCTGAGGGGGACTGAGGGACCCTGCACAGAAGGGGCGGGGGACACGGGGCATCATCAGTGTCAGCGGCCTCGGCCACCCTTCCCAGAGCCCGGTCCACCTGGGCACACATGCACCCCAGGCACCAGCTCCACAGAACGGGCCTCCCTGACCTCACTGGGCAGAAACCTGCAGCTAGAGTTTAGAGAATATACAGATATATAGTTTAGCCATCAATGTTTCCAAAATGCTGACAACTGCTACATAAACAATCCCACGATCCCTGCATGTTGAAGAAGCTACACAATTTCAGCAAAGGTCAAGAGCTGGCTCTACTCTCTCGGGAGCAATGAGGACCCGGAAACCATGCCCTCCACAGCCAGGCCCCTAGCTACACTTTGCTCTGGAGCTCCTGAGTCCCTGGGGGACCCGGATGCCCTGAGCTCATCTGGAAGTCTGAGTCTTCTTGTCAGTAAAATGAAACACTGTTCCAGAGGAGCAGCCCAAGCTGCAAACACAAAATACTCCAAATATGAAACTTTATGTTCATGTGACACCCCAAGTGAAAATTCTGCATGCCTTATTTCATGTACTGAATTATCTAAAATACTGTACAAAATTACCTTTGCGCTTGGAACATAAAGTATATATAAAAGATAAATGAATTTGGGGTTTTGCCTGAGTCTGATCCATGAGATATCCCATTCTGCATATGCAAATAGTCCAGAATCAGAAAAGACCCAGCCCGCTGGCTCTGGCCACGTCATGGGAAGAGGCCCGGCCTGCAGCGGCAACCACACAGACCGGGGTGGAGAGCCGCAGCCGCAGTCAGCAGCAGACGGCCCGCACCCTGGAGAACACTTGGTCACCACATGCTGCCACGTGGAGCCAAACGTGAGTGAGCAGTGCTGGGGTGGGCAGCCCGCGTGGCGCTGCGACTTGACAGTGCCTCGGTGAGCCGCGTCCAGCGCTTCCCTGGGAGCCTCAGGATCACGGCCTTTGCCATAACAAAGAACATCACAGATCTGCGGCCAGACTAACGCCAACTGGAGCAAATATACTATGCAGCAATGTTTGGAAATTCAGATTTCAGACAAAAAACAAGGACAAGAAACGTCCCAGCAGTCACATAGGTATTGTTTTTAAAATAAGTATCATTTTAATAGTAATAATTAAAAGTGGCCTGGTTCCAGTGAGAATTTCTAGGAAAGACCTTCTGCAAGGTCAAATTCCAAATGACATCATGAAACATTTTAGCAAATAATGAGTGAAAATGGTACCTGTAACATTCAGTAGAAAAGATCCCCATTCAGGTGCTGACCCTGCAGCACCGTCACCCCAGCCAGCACGTGGAGGCTCCTGCCAAGGGCTGAGGGTCTGGCTGTGCAGTGAGAAGTCCTACCCGTCCATCAGTCCCCTCCGTGGAAGTGCTCCACGGCCCACTTCAGCTCACAGTCGGCTCTCCACTGTGGTGGCGAGGCCAGGGCCACCCCATCACCCCGGAGTGCAGTAAGGGTTCGTAATGGCTCGGGTCTGCCTGTGCACAGGAAAACGGGGGTGCAGTGTGGATAAGAAGCACAGTCACTTGAACCACAGGGAAGAGAGACGGAGACCGAGGTCGCAACAAGGGGCCAGCGGGGCTACCTAGTGAGACCTCGCTTCAAGCGAAAATGGACAGGCCAGTACTACACAGGTTGGTGGGAGGCGGCTGCACAGGTCCTGCTCCGGCCGTTCTGCCCTGGAAACCATCACCCTCTGAGCAGCGCTCTCTCCCGCACAGGATGGCAGCCATGCCTGGGCTTCCAGTCGCCTCCCTCAGTAACCACACTGTCCCTGGAGACACACGCGGATGTCCTCGGGCTGCAGGGCTCTCTGTCCTCTCTGTACCGGTTCACCTTTATCCACCAAGGAACAGGTGCTTTCCCCTAATCTTCTAAAACTTCTGTCATCTGCCTTCTATCAGCAAGCGCCTACCTATGCTGACTCTCCAGCTGGTCCCAGACATGCTCTATGAACAAGAAGGAATTAGTTAACCATTCAATAATCTGCTCACCTGCTTTTTCATTTGGAGTAGGAAGAACTAAGCTTTTAGGAATACTATTTGGAAGACTGCAGGAAAAACAAGGTAACTTCTATCACCTCCAGGTCTGAAGTACAGGCCACCTCTAGATTACTTCACAGCAGAAAGCTCTGATTCACCAAAACAAAGAGTGCTCTAATGGTAGAGCTTATAAATGAAGATCAATTTCACTACCTGCACTTTGAAGCTCCTTAATTGCCAAAAGACAAATCGTTGAATGTGACATTTAGCAATTCTATGAACACTCTGTAGGTTTCACTTTTTAAAAATTACTTCAAGGAGAAAACATTCTCTCGGGCTTTCACAGAGAGTACATTGGCCAAGCAAAGGCCCTGACTCATCCACATGGCTGACACTGACAAAGGTTCTACAATCTGAGGTACAGGATCTCAGGATAAATCCTGAGGGAATTTCACTGACCTTATCAGACCCAAAAGCTACAACTCTTGCTGCATAGGTCTTGCTTTATCTTGGTCTAAACCATCCAGCAGAAAAGAATAAAAACAAAGTATAAGAAGCAAAACCATGCTGTTATGTTGAGCTGCAGCGGACTCAGGTCAACAATTTCTGACACTGCCAGTGAAGCAGAAGACCCAATACTATTATGGACTACTGGACTCTTTTAGAATATTTTGCTGAGTTTACACACCTATAATATTTAAATGATGGAACTTAACCAAAAAAGGATATACAGATGAATGTCCATTTTGTATCTGTGTATTCAAAGTGGTTAGGATAGATATATAGTTACGTTCTCTTAATGAATAGAGGGATTTGTTCTAATGGTGTTTGTAGATAGGATATCATGTCTGCATCTTGTACAGCAATTAACCACTGGGAGGAATGTATGCAATGTGTTAATTATTGAAACTGTCCTACCAATTTGGAAAAAAATAATTACTTCAAGGTATTTCCAGAATAAAGAAAAACCTGTTGTGAGATGAGCACCGTGGATGGCGGGTGGTGAGGGCAGCAGGGCAGTGAAGCCGTGCTTGGTAGCCTGTACCACACACTGCAAAATTAAGATGACAGACCGGGGTGGTGGCTTCACACGATCAACAGAAGCTCCTGAATTAAAAGAGATCACTAAAGACGCACTTTCCCACTCTGCCCTCTACCACTTCCAGCACAGAATAAGCAGATTTCTGGCGCTGTCCTTGCATTGTTGCCCAGACCTCAGAGGCAGGCCCATCAGGTGCTGGGACAGCTGTACACACTCGCCAGCATGCACGCTCACTCCCGCTGGACTCTCTTGCTCACAGGGCTGACCAAGGACGTCACAGTGTAATGGGGAAAGGTGGTCAGAAGGCGGAAACCTACTGCACTCTTTTCCTCTCACGGGGTCCGGCAGGCCGGAGCAGTCCACAGCAGAGTTGGGGATGGCGACCCTCCACCTGGAGCCGCTGCTGTCGCACTCCGTGTACTCAAAGTGGTAATCTTTCTGCAAACAACCACAGAAACAAACTCTGTTAGATCGGCTCCATGGGACAAGCCTGTGGTCCCTGTCACCCCTGGGCCTGCAGCCTGATCCCTGGGGCCCTCATCTCAGTCCCAGCCCCTACTGGCCCAAGCAGTCATTGAGCAAAACTGCATCAGGCCAGGAACAGGGAGACACTAAGGACCCGAGAGCAAAGGGTGATAAAAGCTCCAAGCTGTGAGCATCACAGCTCAGGGCCTCCCACCCACAGGGGCTACAGTACTCTTCCCTGTCTGGCGCAGGTTTCAACAGCTCTAAGAAACTGATACAGTTGAGGAAAGAGCAAAATAACCCTGGGAAGCAGGCTGGTGTGCTGTCCCAGAGGTCCCAAGGAAGACAGTCATTCCCACTGGCCTAATTCTCACTACTGAAAATGTAAGGAAGGCATAATAGCTAATTATCCACCTTCTAAAGAGAAAAGCGGTTTTGGCAGCACTCTCAGGTTCAATTCACTCCCACCACAGCTGTCTGCCATCAGCCACGGGCAATTAAAACAGACCACTTACTGCAACTGCCAAATTAAGACCAGCCTTCTACTCTCTGGCCTTTGGCTCAGAAGTTCTCACAGCCGCCTCTTACAACACACTCCATTTGAGCAACAACAAATTGAGAGGCACAAGGCGAATGTTTAGAGCATTTCAAGAGTAAGGGAACGCCATGTCTGCCCAGATACTTTCAGCTCTACAACCCACTTATTTCATCCAGTTCCTGGATGTTGCCAGTCGGATCTGTCCACGTGGTTCAGCCTCCCTGACTATGATCGTGGCACCTGAGAGTGGAGGTGCCAAGTGGATCAGCACTGGAGACTTGGCATGGAAGCGCCACTGCTCTGGCCCTTTCCCTGCAGCACACTCTCCTAACAACAAATCTAACATCGTTTTCATTCTGTATGAGCTGAGCTTCCTGAGCCATCAGCTTGAGGCTACTTTCTGTGTAATGGTTCTTCCCTTGATCTATCTCTCGTCTCAGGTTTACGACAAGCAGTAAGGAGAAATTAGGCCATTCCCTCAACACTTGGTTAGAAAACCTGGTCAGCTCAATGCCCAAGTTCACTACTGATCAGCTTTGCTTTCCACGCAACCACACTGCACGATGCCCCAAGCTTCCTGACACTGTAGAACAAGGATCATCTTTCTCCAGTTTCTAATGAGGAGTCCCTCATTTGCTACTGAGTCCTCACTGATGCAAACCTGCTGGATATCCTGAGAGAAATTGGTTATATTTCAAAAGATGCAATGCATTTTCATTTATTTTTTAATCATTTATTTATTTATTTGGTACAGGGTCTCACTACACATCTCGACTCACAGTGATCCTCCTGTCTCAGCCTCCCCAGTGCTGGGATTACAGGAGTATACCACCACATCCAGCTGGCACTGCTCTCTCAGGATTCCTGGGCGAGCACAGTATGTGGTACAGGGGATCAAACCCAGGTACTTGCACTTACCAGGGAGGTGTTCAGACGACCACCGAGCTATCTCCCTAGCACCACATTTTCAGTTCTGTGCAAAGAAATATTCATATGATTATCAGTTTCCTATAATTCACAGCATTGTAAACTTGTGCCAAGAAAATCAAAAGTACAGGCCTCCACAGAAACTGTTTAGGGCTGGCCAAATAGCTCAGCGGATTAAAACACCTGCAAAGCAGATGCAGGAGTAGGGGGTTTGATCCCCAGGCCTGCCATCCCGGCCCCGCCCCTGAACACACTGCGAAGGCAATTGAGACTGGGCACGGTGGCGCACACCTGGAATCCCAGCTCTTGGGAGGCTGTGAACAGCTGGATCACTATGAGTCCGATCTAGCAGTGACACCCTCAACACCCTACAGACCCTTCCCTAAAAAAAAAGAAACTGATTGTTTGAAGGTGCATTAAGTAGACACCCAGTAATCTTTTCTGCCTGTGTCAACATGTCTCACAACTCTGCCCAACAAGAGGAAAGCACTTGAGAATTTTCCTTTTCTCAAAGCAGATCACCAAACACTCTGACGTGAGTCAGAGCACCCTGCACATCCCACCATCAGCTCACAAGCCTCGCTCTCCAAGCTACAAACTGGAAGCAGCATGTGGGTTCCCTCCAACTTGAAGCACAGACACTAGTTGTGGTGAACAAGGCTCAGTGTCACCCAACTGGCTTGGAGACCCACCAAGGGCTGGGTGCAGCACACACTGGACATACCTGGGTGGGTCACAGAAACAGGGCTGTGACGCTCAGGTCCTCAGCTGGTCCCTCACCCCTCCTTTCCTGGCACTGTGCCCTCACTTTGCTTCCTGCCACCCCAAGCTAAGCAGCTCTGCTCTGTCCACCATGTCCTCCACCACAACATTTACACGTTAGCACAGCAGACCATGGACTGGACCCATGGAGACCATTAGCCAAAACTAAACTCTCTCCTCCTCTAAGTAGTCAGTGCTGAGTACTTGGTGTAAAGAAGGGCAAAGCTCACTAACACAGAAAACTGGCATCCACACTGGGGTCACTGCTATGACCATATCTGACCATGTGCTTAAAAAATCTTTGGAACTGGTTTGCAGGCTTAGTGTGGAAAGGTTTAAAGATACAAGACAGAGATCCCTAGAATACTATGAAAAGAATCCATTAGGTGGTTTTAGTTGGAGCTTAGCAGACTAGAATGCTGACAGGAATGCAGATCTAAAGGCCAGGCTGAACTGGTTTCAACTGCAAGAAAAGGGCTCCATGCGCAGTGGGCCTCTAGACCACGTGTGCTACACTATGGCAAGATCACATCTACCGATACTGCCCACATTTGGAGACTGCAGGAAGACTGGGATTAAGGGCAATGGACCAACCAGGTGGAGAAAGTTTCAAGACTGACCCACATTTAGGTTTTGGCATGGGTACTTCTGGCTGCTTTCAGTCAGATTTAGGGTGAGAATCTGGGTAAAAACAGAGCAGAAAAGTTTGGTGCGTAACCTGTATTTTGGCTCATAAGGAACCATACATAAAGTTGCAGCCAAAGGAGTGATGACTGCTAAAGACCCATTGGAAAGGAACAGCTACTTTGTACATGGATAAGAAGATATCTTGGGGCAACCGAGGACTCAGAAAGATCCACCGACTGCAGGCTCAAGGGTGTAAAGTGTACACTTTCATTTGGAAAAGCCATCCCTGGGATGTACCTTACACACAGACAGCCTCAGGGAACTGGTTTCCCAGGATTCACTTCGCCGGGCTGCGTACTCAGAGGTTGCTGTAGCCATGGTCCAAGGGTCCTGGCCACTGCTATCCCCAACAGCAGACCTTTATTCCACCCACACACACTGCTGCTTTCATTGGCTATAGAATATTTGAGTGTCAGGTTATATGCATGTGACAATTAAGGGGAAATGTCAAATCTATTGCCTTGGGAATCCACCCAAGAGATTAGTGGTACACACTTCCAAGTGTGTGGGCAGGTCAAGAGGCAGGGCCTTCAGCTCTGTATCTGGTTCCTGACTCAGTTCTCGCTGGTGCTGCTCTGCTTGCGGGCTACTGTGAACTCTGTAGCTTCCTCCCACCACACCCTCTGCCATACTTTGCCTGCCCTGGAACCTGCTGGCCAGGTGCTGTACTAGTTCTCTGGAATTGTGAGCTAAATCTAACCCCTTCTCTATTAAGTTGTGGGAGTTAGGTATTGTGTCCCAAAAGTAAAAAAGCTGAAGTTAAACATGCCTGTGAGACACAGAATGCTGGAGCACAGAAACAGTGTCCCAAATAAGAAAAGAATTCCATCCCCTGTCAATCTTACACTGTAAATATGTGAGAACCAGGAAGCAACTCAGAAGGAAACAGAGCATGGAGTTACTCCAGAGCACAAACCCTTAGGAGCAAATCACCCTTCCATAGAAATCACAGCATTCCGCACACACAGACTTGCACTCAACACACACTCACAAATCACAGCACAAGCACACCCTCAAGTATACCTTAGATCTAAAATATAACAGGTCAGGTTACATCCAAATAAATACTGGATGTCTACAGAACCCCAGAACATTGAAGTCACCTACACTTAACGAGTCCCACGGCTCTCACTGTAATCTTGGCATAAAATTTCCTAGATCTAACAATATTTAGTTTGGCTACACATATGCTTAAAGATGAGTTAATTGCATCTCATGTTTGATTATAGTAACAGAAATTTAACACATTGTGTATATAAAAGAAATATATATGTATATTACCAATGTGTGAATGTTTGAAACAAAGAGATGGGTTAATTTTGGCTCTCGCTTCTGAAGATCCCAGTCTTTGATCGACTGGTCCCAGGTTACAAGTGGTGCTGAGCCAGGGCACAACGGCAGGACTTCCTGGTGAACAGGGCTGCTAGCTCATTAGCTTGGAAGCAAAAGAGAAAAAGAAAAGGGCCAGCGGCCACTACTCCCTTCCGGGGCACAGCTCCAGGGACCAAGGCCTCTCTGCCTGACCCAGTCCCTAAATTCTCCCCAGCTCCCAACAGGCTTACTCTGAGAACCACACTCCTAGATGCCTTTGAGAAGGTAAAGGCACAAACTCTACCAGGCATCAACACGCATGACCCAGCTGTGATGATGCGCACACATACCAATGGCAATGTGGTAACGGAGGTTGTTCCTTATTACCTGGACAAGCACTGGGGTCTAAGGGCGATGGAGATTTAAAATAATATGCAGTCCCTATGTACAATAAGCTTATGATCTTATTGAAGCAAATCAGATATACATATAAACACACATGTGACACAATTTTATAGAAAAGCATAAAGATGGTCTCCAAAATGCAACAGCACCACCACAAATCAGCACAGAGGCAAGCACTCTATCTAGTCAAAATTACCAGCATGCATTCCTTAACTCTCCCATAAGGCAAAATGCTTACCAATACCCAATAAGCACGGTACAGCTAACTTTCCTTAAGCACTCTATCAAGCACCTATGTCTTAGCACTTAAATGATTCACATTTTGGGGAGCAAGTTTTCT